GGTGATTTGGAAGTAATCCCGTAGTCACAATAAAAGAACAATAAAAAGAACATCACTGGCTGACTAAAAAGGGCAACATAAAAAGAGCATCCATATTATACATTTATTACGCACAAATCTTTCTGAACATAACCAATATACACGACAACACACCATACACTTACTTGATACACAAAGGCATCCCGCCACAGCACGAGAAGCACCAGTCAGCCAGCTAAAAATCCAACGATCTGTCACCACACAAGAGAAAAAGCCTCTCCCTGACCGTCCTGGCTTGCCCTTTTATGCTGGTGGCTTCCCGCGCTTGGTGAGGTTTTACCCATAATGCATTTGATCTAATTTCTTAAATAGTGTATGGTGAGTTTAAAATAAGTTTAAAAATACATAAAATAAAAAGAATAATAAAACTATACAAAAATGGGCACATAAAAGAAATAATAGACAGGAAAGTATGAAAACGTGAAAGAAGGGATCCGTGAGGGAAAACGGGAAAACACGAAGAGAGAAACAGAACTAAGGTGAATTAGTCGAAGGCAAAAAGGCAAGAATAAGACAAGGTAAGTATGGAACATAAAGTACAAGTAGTGTTACGTATAGTAGAAGTAGTGTAGATGTATATGTAGATCACGGACCAATGAAAGGTAAGTCAAAGAGTATAAAAACACAGGTTTATTCTTATAAAAGACACAAGCAAACAAACAGGAAAAACAGGAAAAGCACGTCATCTTGCAGGGCGGAGGAGTCCGTAGATTATCTGTACAGATTCGTAATCGTCAGGGGAACAGGCGGCCCGGAAGCCTGCGGGAGGACCCGCCTGAAGCCAAGGGAAATTCACTACATATCTATCTGTCTATTCATCTGTTTGTCTGTTTGTCTGTCTATCTTGTATGTCTGTCCATCTGCTTCTCTGCCTATCTGCCTAGCTGTCTATCTGTCTGTCTGTCTGCCTGTCTATCTGTCTGCCTGTCTGGCTGTCAGTCAGTGTCTGTTTGTCTGTCTGTCTGTCTGTCTGTCACTGTCTCTTTGTCTGTCTATATGCCTATCTGCCTGTCTGTCTATCTGCCTATCTATCTGTCTATCTGTCTATCTGTCTGTCTGTCTATCTGTATATCTGTCTAACTGCCTATCTGTCTATCTGTCTATCTGTCTGTCTGTCTGTCTGTCTATCTGTCTGTCTGTCTATCGCTCTGTCTGTCTGTCTATCTGCCTATCTGTCTATCTGCCTATCTGTCTATTTGCCTATCGGTCTATCTGCCTGTCTGCCTACCTGTCTATCTGCCTATCTGTCTATCTATCTATCTTTCTGTCTATCTATCTGCCTATCTGTCTATCTGCCTCTCTGTCTATTTGCCTATCTGTCTGTCTGCCTATCTGTCTGTCTGTCTATCTGTTTATCTGTCTGTCTATCTGCCTATCTGTCTGTCTGTCTATCTGTCTGTCTGTCTGTCTGTCTGTCTGTCTGTATATCTGTCTATCTGCCTATCTGTCTGTCTGTCTATCTGTCTGTCTATCTGCGTATCTGCCTCTCTGCCTATCTGTCTATCTGTCTATCTGTCTATCTATCAGCTTATCTGACTATCTACCTATATGTCTATCTGCCTATCTGTCTATCTGTCTATCAGTCTATCTGTCTATCTTCCTGTCTTTCTATCTGTCTGTCTGTCTGTTTATACATTTATCTGTACTTCTATGTACTTATCTATTTATAAGTGTGTATATGTACGTACGTATCTCTTTTTTTAATTTATCTTATCTATCAATCATTGTATTTGTTTATCTTTATGTCGATCCTGTCTTCATCAAAATATGCAAATACTTCTACATCACACACACACACGTAGAGAGAGAGGGAGTGAGAGAGAGAGAGAGAGAGAGAGAGAGAGAGAGAGAGAGAGAGAGAGAGAGAGAGAGAGAGAGAGAGAGAGAGAGAGAGAGAGAGAGAGAAAGAAAGAAAGAGAGGGAGAGAGAGAGAGAGAGAAAGATAGAGAGAAAGAGAGAGAGAAAGAGAGAGAGAGAGAGAGAGAGAGAGAGAGAGAGAGAGAGAGAGGGAGAGAGAGAGAGAGAGAGAGAGAGAGAGAGAGAGAGAGAGAGAGAGAGAGAGAGAGAGAGAGAGAGAGAGAGAGAGAAAGAAAGTGAGAGAGAGAAAGAGAGAGAGAAAGAGAGAGGGAAAGATAGAGAAAAAGAAAGAGAGAATGAAAGAAAGAGAGAGAGAGAGATCAAGAAAGAGGACAGAGGAAGAGAGCCAAAGAGAGAAACATCCTCTGAACGAAAAATGATTCCTTCTTTTTCCCAAAACGCACCGTCGAATTCAGCGGCCTTTGCTTTTCATTCAGGCCATTGGGATGAACGAGGGAAGTGTTTTCATTCGACACAGAGGCTATAGTAATGGAGCTGCGAAGGGGCGGGGTGAGTAAAGCGCGGATTTGGTGGTGCATTGAAGGGAGAGAAAAAAAAATCATAACTCATGTGGATAGAAGGGAGGGATGGGGGATGGGGGGAG